GGATACACTTGATTTGGTCATAAAACTATTCTGTAATAAAAGGGAAAGAAATGTAACACAAATGATTTGAATGTTGACTGGATCTCGAGCCATCTAGGAGTTAGGTATTGTATGGTTCCATTTATATAACATTTGTGTGTGTGGTGCTAGGGATCAAAACCAGGGCCTCCACACTGAGAACACACTCTACCACTGAGTTACATCCCCAACCTATATACCATTCTTGAAATTAAAAAAAAAAAAATCACAGTGGTTGAAAACCAATCAGTGATTACCAGGAGCTGAGGAAGATGTGACTGTAATGTAGTATGAGGAAGTTTCTTTATGGTGATGAAACAATTTTTTATTTATTCTCTCCCTCCCCCCACCCTGTGACTTGAACTCAGAGCCTCAGGACCTCACTCAACTAGTGTTCTGGCACTGAGCCATAATTCCAGTTTGAGCTTTTTTGGTCATTAATTAGAGATATTTGTCTGCCCAGGCAGATTGACCTCCAATCTTCATCTTCAGATATCAGCTGCTAGAGTAGCTAAAATGATAGGCATGACCCATCAGTGCCAGCCAATTCTATATTCCAATTGTTTGGGTAGCTATATGAATCTGTGAAATAAAAATTTTATTAGAATTTACACATACACACAGAGACAAAAAATCGTGCATATAAAAGCTGGTGATACCTGAATAATCTTTACCATGTTATAATTATCCTAATGTCAGTTTCTGGATTTTGACAATATTTAATGGCTATCGAGGATATTATCTTCAGGGTGAAAATACACAGAAACTCTGTGCTATTTTTGCAAGTTCTTACAAGCTTTTAAATGTTTCAAAACTTGTAAGATGAGTACAATATATCTAACAACATGGATTAATTTGGAAAACATTCTGCAAAGTTAAAAGAGCCAGACACAAAAGATTATCTACTGGGTACTTCATTTATTACAAATTTGGAAACAGGCAACTAAATATGATGAAAATGAGGCCTGTGGTCACCTGTGGGATGTTATATAAGGAATGATAGAGAAGAAATGAGAGAGGAACTCTAGAGTATGGGGGGAAAGTGCATTTTGTTGTTTAAACCTTAAAAACAGGGAGAGGAATGAAAGGTCTTTGCTAATTAACTTGTTTACAATGCTAAAATTAAAACAACTCAAAAACCCAAATTGATGAGGCTAGGGTGTGATAGAACTGCAGGTCCTATATTTGAACAACACTGGAAAAAAGTTGGTCAAGTCCTCATAGGACTTTCAAAAAATGACAAAAGAATCCACAGTAATGTACAGACAGATGTTCTCTGTAACTGCAAAGGGTTAATTCTGAGAGGTCTATTTGGCCAATTTACATTTCCCAATCCTTTCTGGGAAAATCTAAGTGAACATATGGATAGAGACTGTTTTTAAAAGATTATGGATTTAAAATTCAGTATTTCTTCTTTTGTGTCGTGATCAGTGTTTCCAATTGGAAACACTGGCCAATTTGAAAGGAAGCAAATGTACCAATTATTATATTTAATATCCCTGCAATGTTCAGTCATTTATTTCAAAAGAAAATTCTGAGGCGTAAGTGTCACATCATCTTCCTTATTGAACTGGTCAGACAAGCTGCACAGACTTGTTTCTGGCTTTTTTTAGTTTTCATGTATATATTCCAAGAATACTTTTATGGAACTTCCCTAACATCCAGACTCTGACCTCTCTTTGGTCATTGTTCCTTCACCTGGATGTCTCCTTTAGGGTCCTTTGGGTTCTATAATCTTTTAATGCTGAGTAATGAGGGACAGGAAAACCATTTCATTCAAGTAGGACCCAGGAGTCCCTAAAGACTGACATCTACAACTCAGGGGTTTCTCAGGGATTTTGTGGCTGTCTGGGAAATGCTAGGTGTTCCTGAGCTTTCCTGGCAGGAACCAAAGAGACTAAACATAATTGGGATTACCGGATGTCTCAAATAACACTGGCAGTAATAGACTGAAGGGACAAGATGGCAATGTTTGGAAGACAGAAATATTGATTGCACAACTAAATATCTATTCCTCCATTTTACAGGTGATGGGACAGATTTGGAGAATGGTGTTACCTCTAGGCAAGCCCCTCACCCCCTTTTTGTGCAAGTCTTGGGGCTTGAACTCAGGGCCTGAGTGTTGTCCCTGAGTTTTTCTTGCTCAAGGCTAGTACTGTACCACTTGAGCCACAGTTCTACCTTTGACTTTTCAGTAGTTAACTGAAAATAAAGAGTCTTAGGACTTTCCTGCCCAAGCTGCATT